GATATTTTGTTTGCTCAGAAATATTCTCCCAAAATGACGATTTTGAAAGATATTTATCGTTTCAGACTTTCGCGCTAATTAAAATGACGTCATCAATAGTTGTTAACCAATAGTCTATTGCTTTACAGATCTCCTAGTGATGAAATTTAAAACGGTCGATTTAAGAATAGTGAATGCGAAATTTTTATTCAAAATTCGTATACGGAAATTTAAAAAAAATAATCGATTCTAATGAATATTAAAGTGGATCATTTATTTTTTAAATCTTATCCTCACTACTTTCGAATATTCGGCTCGTGTGCTTCGCACCGCATTTCGTAGTCGAGTGAAACTCGAATACCATCTAATTGATTAAAGTAATCTCTTGCATTCGCATGAATATGTAATCCAGAGTAAAAAAGCAACAACCAAACAATTCGATGCCAAAAAGGTTAGAATAAAATAAATTAACCAGAAACGTGCACGACTAATCCATGACATTATCGATGATATTCTTTTTAAATTCTGAGAGCATTATGATAAGAAAATGTTTATGAGTTTCAGAACGCTTAGAATTTACTTCAAAGACTATCAGCTTCTTACTACTTTTCTTTAGCTAGTAGACGTAGTATATCGAAAAATTGAACAGTATAGTTTCGAAATTTTCTCATATATATCTTTCTCAGCAAAATCAAGCGAATATTTCATCTGATTATTATCGTTGTACTCAATAATTGTATCCTATATAGATATCTTAATACTTGACTTATTCAGAGAATGTTCATTTGATTGATCAAAGACTTATTGAACAATATTTAGCATGTCTTGATTGGAAGTTTTGTATTGTTTTGTGGATTATAGGTCTTCTATTTAAATTACAACTTAATTGTGACAGTGTTCTATTGTGAAAAATACTCAATAAACTCGAAATCTAATAGAGAACAGTGTAAAATTATGTTATCTTTTAAGAGAAAAGGTATTTCAGATAGTTTTTCTAAACGAATTCTTTCCATTTAGAAAAAAATTGAGTACCTCAACGATGTACCCCATTTGAAATCTGGTGTACCACTTTTGAAAATCAGCACTTGGCAGCCCTGGTTGTATCACTCAAACCTAAGTAGTATGTTGCATGACTATTTTTTTGTGCTTTTAGATTCTATTTGACGTCAGAATGTTTAAGTAGCCAGTCAGCATTGTCAGCTACAGAAAAAATATAGATCTTCAGACATTTATCTCTGTAGTTGACAATTCAGTTTAGTTAACTAATGAAGAAGTGTAATTACAACTGGAATATAACATGACAGAAAGAAAAAATCGCGAAAGATAATATTTTGCTTTGAGTGACGCAAGTGCATAGTACATAACTTTTTATTTTCGTAAGAATTTCTCGATCAATCGAGTTAATGTTATTAATATCAGTTGATAAGTTGAATAATAGGATAACTGTATGACGTAGGCAATGTTAGCACCAGATTCACTTCCCATAGCCTGTGTTAGATCTCTAAAAGGGTTGATCTGGATGTCAAATTGTATTCTGTATCGAATGGTATCGGGCAAAAAATTCATCTGAGGTGTTCTTCTTGGTGTGGGTGCCACTATGAATGTTAGCGAAGGTACGTAATGAACTGCATTCTGATTATCACGTCGCCTCTTTTAATTACATCGCTTAGATCTTGAAATGACATTCATAGTTTAAACTATCATTCGGGACATGGGCGATTGCACGTCCTTACCAACACTCACACCCTCAAGAAGCACACAGATAATTTTTTTGCCTGATGATTCTTATCAAAACTCATGCCATTCGATAGAAAATAAAACGTGGCATTCAACATAATCCTTTAGACATTCAGTACAGATTAGGTAGCTCATCTAATGTTAATATTATCTAAGCTATAAAACCTAAATATTCAATTATATTGTTTATGTCACTAAGCACCCTCTATCCAATAGCTACGTTTTTATTGGTTAATGATAGCCACCATCGATAGAACACTGAGAATTGACAAATAACGCTTTCGCTAGCTAGTATTTTCAATAGTATATATTATAGACCAACTAAGCGAAACGGTTACGATAAACACTTATTATTTACATGTTCGTTTTTTTTTTATTGAGATAGTAAAAATTAAATGTCAATTGTTCACTTTATTGATTACTTAAATTCTTTGTTTCAGATTTGTATTTGAAATATTACTACTCATTATCTAGTCGTTAATATTTTCACAATGAAACGAGCAATAAATGATAGGAAAACTAAGAAGAAAGTTCTAACAAAAAAAATATCAAAAAAGAAGAAACTTTTCAAAGATCCGTTTCTGCGTGAACTCGATCAAAAAAAAGTAACCAAAACGGAGCCAAAACTTCCCATTCTTCCAACGCATACTACCAAAGAAGATGATAAAGTCTATGCACGAACAGCAGTAAATAAAGCTAATGTAGCTCGTCTTTTACCAAAAACTCGTCTTCAATTACCAACTCATGCACTTCGATCGGCACGAACATTTGCTCAATGTCCATCAGTGAGTGTTGTCAGTAATGAAGAAACTGACACCCAACATCACCAATTACCTGTGGTATGTTCACGTGGTGCACTCAATTTTCATGCTCGACGATTGGGTACATCACAACGTGTGGATAATGAATATCGTTTAGGACAGGTTAAAAAACGTGTTGCTGGAAAAATAAAAATTGATCAATTGTAGTAGATTAAAATCGTACTAATAAATAGAGAAAGAAGAAAAAAAATCAGATAGAAATAAATCTATGTCTTTTTGTTTTATTTATTTATTTATTTATTTCGTTGATAAAGTGAAAGAGATTAACATAATTTCTAATTTCTCTTACAGATAAAAAAAATCGTTTAATCTATAAGAAAAAAAAAAGAATTGAATATTAATATAGTAATGATATTCACGTATATTTTAATATTCATAGTAATAAATCGAGTTTTTTTGAATAATAATATACCTTGAAAATATTTTTATATCCATAAATCGAATAATTTACTTTGACGTCTCGTTTATTTGCCGTTTTTTAAATCAGCAACATAACCAAGAAACATTTTTATTCAAAATACAATACTACGTTTTAGCACTAAATTAAAATGAATGACAAAAATAATTGCTCACCTCAAAAAACTTTTAATCATCAACGACGAACAGTTAGTGTTGGTGATGCGTCAGGTCAACTGGATCTAGATGATGAATGTCCAAGTTTTCATGAGAATCAAACTTCAAAATACATTCGTTCTATAAGTCAAATTAACGAGGATGATTATATTTGTACTACTTTACCAAGAACTGGCAATACGCCGATAGCAAAAACCTGCCGGTTAGTTTTTATATTTTCATCTCCATGCAACTAACATCTTTCCTATTACCTAAATCATTTATAGACTAGTGCATCAGTTAAGGAATAGAGTTTTTGTATATAACAAGTATCGATTAAAATTGTGCTTTTTATTATAGATACGAAAATATTTGGCTTTCATATTTAACAAATTATTGTTTTCTTACGATAATTTCTTTTTTTTTTGATTGCTTCTATGCTTCTATGTACGTAAGAAAATGTTCTGCTGTCGATGTGCTCTCGTATATGTAAATTCTATTACTTGCCTACGGCGCGAAGTTTCTCTAAGAAAACTAATGACATCAACATTTTCTAATTCAACATCGAGAAGATCAATCTCGATATCAACAGAGACTAGTAAAGCGAGGTAATTTGATAAAATCTGCTAGATTGGATTTACTAAAAAAATATTTAATATTTTTGAAATAATAACATCTGTTTTCATTTGATTATTTAGGCGTGCTCATTCAGCATTTGCTCCGTCGCCAAAATCTAATTTCGGACCAAAAGCTACACTCAAAAAAGTACAAGATAATGATCAACTAATGTTTGTATTGCTTATATTGTGATAATTGTCCAAGAATAAAGTTCTTCTTTTGTTTTTCAAAATATTTCAGCGTTATTCAAGATCCGTCTAGCCAACGCTTGCATTGGATTGCTCCACCAACTAATATTCTTATTATTCGTAAACCTGGTCCACAGACGATGCCAGAGTTTCGGGAGTTACTTCTAAAGCTACTTAAGGTAACTATTTCGAGAAAAGCTACAGATTCAAAAAAGCAATAATCTATAGTCATGGTAGATGTATGATTGGACATTTTGCAGTAAAGGGAATTCATTTCATCTTTGCATAGAAAATAAGCATTTTTAATTAAAGAAATTTCACAGGAATTAAATCTTTTGTCTATTTTCAAAAACAAAGTTGACAATTAAATTTCCATCACTGAATTCGGTTGTCGACGATAAAGAGAATTAACGAAGTTCCTCTTTTTGCTAACCAGAATTTAGTGGATCAATATTCTTAAATATTGATGGGAGCGTGAAGTCGAGTTGTAGGAAACGTTTCAAATAAAAAGTCTTATGTCACATTCAACATATGAATCTATAATTCGATAATATAAATTCAGTGAAACTAGATAGGAAACAAGTGAAACCAATGCTTTTTAACGTTCTTGTAGTTACGTTAAATAGTGCGCTGAAAATCGAGATATCTCTTCATTTAGTTCTCTCATAATATCAAACTATCAATAAACGCTTCCTTGTTCTTCGTCAAAGTCACTACATTTATTATTTTAGCGTCGTCTCAATGTGTATATTGAATTATCTGAACAAATGCATTTACCATTTGCAACGGATCCCGAATTAAAAGCACATGGTGAACGCTGTCATGCATTCGATCACGGTACTTTGTTTTAAAATGGTTGTTTTAGTATCGCTCTCGTTTTGTTTAATTCTAGAAAATGATTTTTTCAAAATTGACTTAATCATTTGTCTGGGCGGTGATGGTACACTTCTGCATGTGTCCAATATGTTTCAAAAAAGTTGTCCACCTGTTTTATCATTTTCAATGGGTTCACTTGGGTTTTTAACTCCATTTGATTATAAAAATCATGAAAAAATTTTAAACGAAGTTGTATCAGGCAATGTTGCTGTTCTTTTACGTTCACGTTTGAGATGTTCAATTGTGAAAGGCCTAAAAAGACAATCATCATCAGCTGCATCGTTTCTTTCAGCTTCATCAGATGAAACAGGAAGCGATGAAACCGGTAAGGAATCAAGCAGCGGCGAAAAAATATCGCATTTAGCATTAAATGAAGTTGTTATCGATCGTGGACCAAATTCATATTTATCGAATCTTGACTTGTATATCAATGATAGATTTATTACGAAAGTGCAAGGTGATGGTAAGTATACGTAATAATGAAATTTAAGATTCTTTTTGTTATCGTTAAAAACTACTATTCAAATAGTCAAATTATGATAGTGTTTCATCCTAACGTATATCTCTCAAAGATGAATGTTTTTTCACTGCTAATGTTTCCTATGCGATATGCATGTTAGATGACTTCAGAAATTCTAACAGATTTATTGTTAAAATTATTTGCCTAGAATAGCGAATAGTAAACCAAAGAGGTAAGAACATGCAATTGAGAAATCCGTGTCTGGAATCTTGAGAAAACTAGTTTTGACCTGCAATCTACCTGATGGTTTCATCATAGAATCGATTCATTAGTCAAAGTTTATCTTAAAGTTTTGGGGGTTCTTTTTTCATTATGATCCGAGAGATATTCTCTTACTAAGAGTTGCTTACAACAACGAACACTTCATTTTGTTTTCAATACATGTCTATACTGATGATAAAGCTTGTAAAGAATCTAATACGAAAAAAGACACCTGATTTTAACTTTGCTTGAATTGAATGGCTCAGTTTTTCAATTTTATGATAAAAAGTATCTCTCATGTGTAATAAAGTTACAGGAAAATTTATTCTTGAAATGAATTTTCAATGGAGACAGATTAGCAATATTCGATATGAACTCGAAATCTTTGCTGCATACTATGAAGAAATAAGTTGATGAATGCTTTTTTTTTATTCAAGGTTTGATTGTTTCAACCACAACTGGTTCTACAGCATATGCCATGGCAGGTATGACTTTATTACTCTGTTTTTTTTCCTGGTAGTTTATACTAATCGAATCATTCTTTTATTAGCTGGCTCTTCTATGGTTCATCCTAATGTTCCTGCTATCGTCATATGTCCTATTTGCCCACATTCTCTATCATTTCGACCAATCGTTGTTCCAGCTGGTATTGAATTAAAAATAACAGTCTCTGAAGAAACTCGTCTTACAGCATGGCTGTCTGTAGATGGAAGAAATCGACACGAATTACAACAACAAGACTAGTAAGAAGCATGAGAAAAAGAAAAATGTATTCCTCTAAATTTTTATTTGATAATATTTTAGTGTACACATAACAACAAGTGTTTATCCGGTACCATCTATATGTAGATTCGACCAATTAGGTGATTGGTTTGAATCGTTAGCTGATATACTTCATTGGAATTTACGTAAAGCACAAGGACGTATCGATAGTAATCCATCTGCTCAACGTGATGCTCAATTGCTTCGCGATGAAAAGAAAGATTCGTCACCTTCAGAAAACTCTTAAACATCGAACTAAAAGCATACAAATATGAGCCATACTTTTCATTTTGTTTTCGTCTTACTATTCTTTTTGTATTCGTGAAAAATTTCTTCCATTTTGTTCGTAATTAACACACTAAGAAAACAATTTTCATTTAATCAATATATTTATGGATAATATCAGAAAACATTTATTTCTTCAGATATGAATATCTTACCGAAAAAACGATGGCATGTTAGAACTAAAGATAATATTGCACGAGTTTTACGTGATGAAAAAAAAGCAGCAGAAGAAGAACAGAAAACACTTCGAAGAAAAACTTTAGCGGTAAATTATCGATTGGAAACTTTTTTATTTCTACAAATTCGGTGTTTTAGGAACAAGAAGCTCGTCTGAATAATTTACGAGCTAAGCGTGGTGATCATTTAATTCAATTTCAAAGTTCTGAAGAGGCAAGCTCAAAAGAGAAACCACTCGAACATGTGAATTTATTTCAACTTGAAGAAAAAGGAGTATGTAGCAATTGAATCATTGAAAATATCTATTCACGTTTGGATATTTAGTTAAAAACTACCAATGCTACGAATGATGAACATGAAAAAGAGAAAAAAGCTGAAACAGAAGAATTTGAAAAAAAACTTGGGCTATTAACGTATCTTGGGGGTAGTGTTGTAGAAAGTAAAGGTAAAATGAAAAGTTTTTCTTTTTTGTTTATGTTAATATTACAAAATAAATATTTGTTTAGGAACTGTTCCATGGTATATGGAACGAGGAGCAAACAAACCAGCACCATCTAAAGAATTATCGAAAACTGATCGGTAGGAATAAATGCTACTTTAAATCGAGGTTCTTTGTTTGAATATCATTTTTTTTTCTATAGTAATCATTTATACGAAAAGTGAATTGAGAGAAAAGTTTTGATAAGTAAGATGTGATTTATGATATAATCGAAATTTTTAAATACAATATATTAAAGCCACCAAGGTCAAAACTTAACTTCAGTCTATAATTTTTCCGTTTTCTGAGCTGTCCTGTATCTGATAGAGATTTGCGTTTGTTTTTTGTACAAATAAAAAAATATTGAACAAAATCTTTTTATTTCATAGTGAAGAACGCGATCGTTTACGTATTGAAAAACAAGATCCTCTTAATTCTATGTCAAAATATGTCGAAGATTTAAAACGCAAACGTGATGATGAAAATAAATCTTCCTCTATTAAGACTAAAAAATCAACTTCGTCTGCCACTACATTATCATCATCATCTGCTTCTCGTATAGAACAACTAAGAGCACAAAGGTAAATTTTGTTTTTCTTTTCTTCTATTGAATATTTTATAGTTAGTTAGTATTAATTTAAATTTATTTTATTTTTAGATTAAAACGTGAATCAGAAGAACGTGCAAAAACTGCTTCTTATTTATCACGAGTTTTTACTGGTACAGACCCAATAGCGGCTACACCTGAACCAACTCCTCCTGTTGAAACTGATGATCGTAAACGTCGATATCATTCACAATTTAATCCTGATTTCGCTAAGCAAAATACACAACAATATGCTACCACACATGATATGAATTGGAGAGGAAATTAGTTCGCTTTTTGAAAATGTACAATTGGTAAAAACATTGTTCCGAACCAATGTAAATAAATAAATATTGATAATTGAGATGCATGTGTATTCATAAGAGAAAAAAGTACATATGGGAGATGAACAAGAAGTAATAGACTTGTTATAATAAACAATAGGCGATAATTAACATGTGTTTCTTGTTTTTGAATGTAATCATTTAATTGTATTGATGATGAAAGATAATCGAATAGAAGAAAAGAATTATCTAATGAAGCCTTGTATGATAATGATCGATTTAATGTATTTGAAATGTATGAGAGAGATTTATGATCTGAATTTGTCGTTGAATTATTAAGTGACGATACTGAAGGCACCCACGTCTGAAGATATCAACAATTGAGAAAAAGAAAATCAAAACAAAATTCAATAGCTCTTACATTAAGTGTACTCATGGTCGATTGATCTAATTCAAAATTCAAAACTGTTTCAACAAGACTAGTTAATTCTGCCATATTTTCACGATGTTCATTTGCTTGTCGTTGAGCAGCTTCTTCTCGTCTTTTATATTGTTGATAAACCCATGGCCAACAAACGGTTGTACCAGTGAGTAAAAATGACACAAATATTGGAACAAGATATGTGCCAGAATACAACGTCGGCAATATCCACCAAGGTACATCAGTAGACAATGTATGATAAGGTAAATGATCGGTTTTATCATTTGACGAAGATGATAACCATAAAATTGGTGAATAAGTAATAAAAGGTGCAAACCACGTAAGAGCAATACATAATCGTTGTAAATAAGTATTGATGATATTCGCATGAGTAATGAATAGAACAAGAGAATAGATTTGAACAGCATCAACAATATGAAATAGAAATGCCCATAGACGCCAAATGAACGATTCCGATGACCATATAGTACGAAAATAAAAGAAAGGTATAAGCCAAATAACAATAATTAATGATGAAAAAGAAAAATTTAAAAGTATTAAACGAAAATATTTATTAGTTTTATCACTTTTACATATAATTACATATAATACATGAGCGATGTTGATAGTAAATATTAATAAAATAAGAATAAGAATAAAACAGAATTCAACTGAACTAATTGTCATATCTAGAAGAAGAATTTTCGTTTGAATGAAAAGAAAAAATTTGACCGTTTATTCTCTAAATCAGCCGTACCTTTTCATTTACCCTAACAACCAACAATGCAACACATTATACGTACTATTCAAAGCTCTCTTATTCTCCCTCCTTCTTGTACATAGCTTTCTTTCTTTCTCTTTCTCTTTAGGTTGTAAAATCGAACATCAGTGCACACATTGACTGTTAATGTCTGTTCATTTCGATCAATGCAAATGACCTGTCCGATGAAATGTCTGCTAACCATAACCTTTTCTTTCTTTTATTTTTCTCTGGTAAAAATGAATCGCATTCAGACACAGATGTGTGCATATAAAAAGTAGATAATTAGATCATTGTTCTGTCGATTAAGCGATTGCATATGGCCAATTAGGTAACCATTGTTTCTATCTATCAACGGTGAAGGTAACTGATAAAAATAGTAGCTACATAAAATTTTACATTATCGAGAAGTTCAATAGTATTCAATGTCCTATCGAGGTCAGTATCACAGTAGGATTGGCTTTGTTTTCGAATGAAAGAAAATTTTATCATATTTATGTATTCATTTCATGTATGATGTAATCTTTATTCAATCTAAATACCTACCGGTTAAGTTATGTACTCAAAGAGATGCTTATATAAAGGGAAAAGGTTAGGAAGTCATCTGTCAATAAAGAATTATTTATATTATTTCAAGTTACCTTCTTTTTCATGTAAAGCATTCTTTGATTTTTTTTCTTTTCTTGACGAACTATTCAGACAGATGAAGAATATCTGTTTGAAAATGAAGTACATGAGAGAGAGAGAGAGAATAAATAGCTATCATCTAATTAAGAAATAAGCACAGATAGTGATCATATTTGCATAACATATTTGTTCAAATGAAATCAATCAGTGGATAGAATTAAGTGAACTTTATGCAATAGGAATTCTTCTTTTTATTTTACTCTAAACATAGTAATGCTTCAAATATGTATCGTTGTACGTGTGCAAGACAAAAGGAAGTTTCTTTTTGCCGTTCGATTTATACTCTCAAGGTAATAATTCAATACCTTGTGCAATTATATTCATACTTGTTTGAGAGGTTAGTAGTACTATCTATATCTCGTAAATGGACCAATGAAAATAAATTTCTTTTTTTCCATTACGAAATCAAATTCAATAGCTCATTATGATAATTATGATAATGTGTATGAATGTTACAGTAAATTCTGAAATATTTTAATAAGACCTTTGAATTTTATGCTAAATTATCATTAATATGTAAATTATATAATGTTGTCTTTCGTTTGTTTTCGTATGCAATGGGTAGTCACCTGAAAGACGTGAAGCTGCGGGTGTAACCATTCTGCACACATGCATTGAGAATTGGCATCGCAGACATAATGCAAATATTGTCACTTCCAATCCGAGCTTATATGTATTAAGGAATAAAAAAAAGTTTACGCATTCAACATGATTGTGACGAAGCCAGTTGACAACAAGATTAGTAAAAACGTGACAGTAATCGTCTGTTGCTTTGTTCTTATGAACTATTGACGACATGTGGTCTTACTTCAAGAACTTTCTCTATTGCGATATTCTCTTTTGTCTATAAAATATTGCTAAATGAAACGAGTCGATGTAAAGAGGATGAATTTAATAAAACTATCACACCTTTAATTATCAATAGAAATTTGTTTGGATGCAACATAGAACAAAACGTAGAATGAATAGTGAATTGCAAAAATTGGATGACTCTCAACTGTAGGAGCAATATATCAACTGACGTCATTATAAATATGACTTCAATACAAATACTAGTATCAAGTGGTCAATTATAAGTATTCTATTGAATGAGAAAACTCTTCAGCATATGACGTAATTTTGCTTGATATCCAATGCAATGTGTTTGACCTTCGTGAATATAATTGATCTTTTATTCTATTGAGCAGAATAAACGTTTTCTACTAATTCCAGTCGATTGGCGTTGATTGCTAAAAAGTCCGAAAAATGGCTTCTATTCATTTTCGTATTACTGTTCTATTCGATAATTTAACATAAGAATAAAAACGAACGGACTGATTAAATTACTAGGCGTTAATGAAATGATGCGGCATGTGATGCATTTCATGTACATACTGATCATGAAATTCTTCGACTCATCTTTAAAATAAGGAAGTCAATCCATTCATTTTTGATGAACAACTATTATTCGATATGGTTTATTTGACACTATACTATCAATTGTTTTAATTCGCGACTACATGCATAACTTCAATCCAAATGAACTAGCTATAAATATACTTAGAAAAAAATTTGCTGTTCTAACCTACGTAGTTGCTGCTCGAATATTGACTTATTAAGATATGTTTGAATAGATTTAATTTTTCATCTTCAAAACATCTTCAATACTAATTTTCAACTGGAAGTTCTTCATAGTACCAAGCCTTAATATGAAACAAGTCATCAACATAATTTAACGTATGATAGAAGTTGCAACTAAAAATTTTAAAAAAAAACATTCGTGAAGGGTCTTCTTCACTAAAGTCTGTTTCTATACAAATTTCCAAATCAAAATCCGCAAATCATTTTTTTTTGATATTCCTAAAGGATTAGCAGCATTGTTCTATGACAGACATTAGGTCTCGATGGCAAATTTCATTGAAAATTGAGAATGTAAATTTGACTATTCTTTTCGTTGGCACCCACCAATAAGAGTTCCATTTAGTCTCCATTACGAACACATCTTCGGAGCACAATAAACCTAAGTTATCCTTAGTGGTCTAAATCTTTATACTAAACAGTATCCTAAGAGTGGATTATTTCTTTAGCCATGAACTGAAGGCACATTCTGGTTTATATCTGTCTAATATATATATATATATATATATATATTATCATTACTCAACAATGATTTATTGTTTAAAGCACTTTTATCATGAGCTATAAATAGATAATATGCCACTCATAAAGTTATTTTCAAATTGTGTGAATAATCAGTTTATCCTGTTGAAACTAACCAGATGATTTACAACAGAGAAATTCTTTCATCTTTGTCTCATTTCTTTTTTGAATGATGCTTATAAATCCAACTGAAGAATCATATCATATTGTTTGAATATCACAATTTTAATCATCTCACTAAAAGTTGTGAAACAAAAACAAATGTACATCAATCAAAAGGTTAATTTATTTAAACATGATTATTCTCAAATAAAACTACTGTTGAGTTTTTCTTTCTTTCTGCTGTACATTTTAAATCTCGCATCGATAATCTCGATGGACTAGCTTGACCATCACCGCCCGTATCATTAACAACGGTTAATGCTTGTGTTGCAGCTGAGTTTAAGCGATGATGAGAATATTTTTTATAATCATCAATTCTTTGGCAATGCCAACAATTGAATATAACTCTCATACATTCTTGTCGCAATTGATTATTCATGATGCCATAGACGAATGGCGATGCACATATGGATATACAATAAAGTAGTGTTAATAATACGAATATATCTGGATGTAATTGTCGACGCTTATCATATGCTCGTACAAAACCATACGGATGATAACCAAGAAAAAATAATGTAAATAACACTGCAAACATTTTTGTTATTCGTATTTCACGTCTCAATGAGTGCGATACTGATACTGCACTTGTATTTGTTGTACGTCCACTTGAATGTGATGCATGATAAACATGACAAAATATTCCAAGAAAACAAAATATAATTATTACATTTGGCAATACAATTAATATCGATACATTGATAAATATTTGTAATTTATTGCGTATTGAACATCGCAATGCTTGAGATGAATATGGAATTGAACTTTTCATAAATGATGGTATACAGCATATTATCGGTAGTGCACGTGTTATGACAAGTGAAACAATTACATAAGTTTTAACCGACATACGACGTAGTAAATTTGGGTAAACGACAACTATTAGCCGATGTATAGCAATTAAACAATGATGCCACAGAAGACAGCCCATACAAACCGTTGAAAAGTAAACAACTAAATTACATATCAATTGTCCGCCAAGCCAAGCATGATTTGCATAGGAAAGACCGACGAAAAATTGATTGAAACCAATATTGAGTAAATCATTGAACTGTAGCTTGAAAACAAAAAAAAGCATTTAGAAATCTCGAAAGTACTGTGTATGTGTCTGTGTTGTGTTCTCTTTTTCAATCAACTGAAACTGATTCGCTGGCTGGATTTTTTTCCATATCATTCAAAAATATGAATAATTTTTTTTTGTTTTTGTTTCTTCTATGAATACATTAACTTTCAGTAGATGTAAGAATTTTCTTCTGTTTAATGATTTATAAATATTAAAATATATTACAATTTTGATCGTTCAAGTATAATATCTCGAAAACAAATTGAGAAGAATATTAACAGACATAGACACTGGTTAATTATGTCACAGATGCTCTAAAAACTTGACTTCTTCAATGTTCTATTAAACAACCGAAAAATTATTTTATTTTGTGAAAATAATTAAGAGATCTAACACATTCATTTAGGATTCTTTTTTTCCGTCGAAAACTTCTGTTTGGTCTGATTGCCATTCGCATGACGTTTCTCTCAGTCGATGAAAGTTTTACATCGTTTCAATGAAATGTTTAATTATGTGTGATTATTAAATTAGTTTCATTTTCTGATACAAACTAATGAATTGTGCTATAAATGCCTATGTGAGAAAATATATTTAGTGAGCAGCATTCCAGAGATTTCTTTGACAGCAAATAACATGATTCAGCTAATCCGAAGCTGCATTCCGAGTACATGATTTAGCTATAAGTGAAAATGATTTCCGGTATGTTTGCTGTATTTTTTTTAGATGAAAAGATTATTAGATACTCATATACTTTAGTTGATTAGAAAAAAGAAAATGTAAATAAAGCAAACGGAAGTCGTGCAGATTGTTTAAGAAATAATTTTGATTCCTATAGTCTTTTCTTTCTCTTTTTAAATGTTTTCTGATAAAAAAATAAATCGTATCTTACCGAAACGATGAATATATTAATAATATTTGTTCGAAGTTTTCTAACGGAAAGTATCGTTGTTATAAGAAGTATATTACCAATAAGACCCAAAAATATGAAAACAAATGCAAGTATTGCACCAATAAATGTAGCTTGTCGTGTTGGTTGTCCGACTGCTTGATCACTTGGTAGCGTTGAATTTGCACGCATTGATACATGACTGAATGTAATTACTGTTGTTTGATTCATTATTATGAATTAGAAAAATAAAACGCACAGGACAATAATGATTGGGAAATAATCTAAAAACAAATTACAGTTTTTGTTTTTGTTTTTGTTTTTCTTGAATTGATAAAAGAGGTGTAGATAGCTCTAATCAAGTTAACGTATAGTTCTCTCTCTTGCTCTCTCTCTCTCTCTCTATGGGAGTTATTTATTCATCAGTACATACTAGATATAGAGAAAGAAATTTTTGTTTTTCATGGTAGCACACACTCTTTATTTCCGCAGTCATTTTCTATTTTTCTCTTTTTCTTCTTTCTTTCTTACTCCTCTATCAATGTCTATTAGTTCAAATAAAGAATAAATCAGATAACTTTTATATTTATACAGATATTAAAGGAGTGTGTGTCTGTGTGTTTAGCGAACATAAATTGTGTTTATGTTAGAACAACAACTAAAATTAACTAAGAATAAGGATTGGCAACAATAGAAAAATAAAATAAAAAATACTCATATCATCATTCGATTTCCGGACATGCAATGATAAACGAATAAGAAGTCAAAATGTTTTTTTTTTGTTTCTTAATCATTTGTTGACTTCGACTTGAAAGAAAGAAAAAGCGTTTTTTCCTCCCAAACTTATTAAAAATGGACGCGTTTTTCGAGACTAAATCAAAAAGAAAAAGAAATTCTTCGTATGTCGACTAAAAACTTTCAGCAGCACACTAAGAAAAATTTAATTAAAATGTGCATAGCTCGTATTTGATATCAGGTTTTCTATCTTTTTGTTTTAATTCTATAAAGATGGAACATGAACAGCCTGTCATCAATTACGAATGACATGAATTGAAATGAAGAAGAAAGCAAAGTACTCTGGAAATGACAACATACATGAATTCAAGAGAGTAACTCTGTTGGTAAATTATTCCAATGAATATTTATTAAAAAGAAACAGGTTGAAGATGACAGAAAAGAAATGCAAAAGAGAAGTTTCCTTAAGAATGATTTTCTTTTTACTTATGTTAGCATAATCAATAACTCTTTCGTTGTCAAACTAATGGCAAGATAACACTTTAATGCATAGCAGATATTTCATTTAGCTGATAAATACTTACATGTACTATAGATAAGTCTGCAACTGTGCATCGATACATATGTATATATAAAGTGATAATATGATAAAATGACAGATTCTAATTACAAGTAAAGATCGAAAAGTAACATTCAACATCAGACGAGTTTAATGTCGTTGTCATCCAATAAATATGCCAACGAAAAGTGTATTCAGATTATTTTCTCGTTATTTATTCTTCTATCTTTGTATTTGTGTCTGCTCTTTTTCATCAGTAACAGAGCTCACAACTTATAAATCGGAAATACACAGCTTGCTGATTTCCTTTTTCTTTTGTGTGATAAGTATCAAAGCCAGCATGCAGCTATTAACAACAGTATACGACGGAAGACTACTGAGTTGGGTTTAAATAATCTTAGTCTTCTTATTTTTATTTTTGTTGGATCAGATATTGCTAATGTTTGTCTGATTATTTGTTATATATATATATATATATTCAGTATTACTGACAAGAAACACAATAACTTCAGAGGAAAAAATGACAGAAAAAAAAGCTTTTTATGTGTTCAATATGGAAAAATCATCATCATCATCATCATCGTCACTCGATTCTGTTTAGTACTTACTCTAGTTACTAACTTTATCATCATTGAAATGGGTTTTTAATAGAATGAAGGAAAGTAAATTCTTCACGGCAACTATTTTTCTTTGGAAAATTCACGTTTCTATAAGCAATTGTTTTTCTTTATGGTTATTATTGTTATAATAATATAGCTTCATTTATTTTTTCTTTTTAATAAAACATAAATGAAAATATGCATGCATATAACTAAAGATATTTCGTCTTTCTCTCCCTATATATATATATATTACTTCTTGTTATTGTTCGCGTGCTTCTGACAAGTAGTAACCAAGTGGAGTAGCTTAACAATTGAGAAAACGATAGAAGCTGTCGAAAATGAAAATCTTTTTCCACATGAATAGATAGATATTTTTTATGATATTAATAGCTCTTATTTATCATTCATATTAATAGCTTATTTTTCATTCATATTATCAGCTTATGGCATACATAGAAATAGATTAGATTTTCCTATAAAAAAAAGTATTGATAGCAACAAGAAACTTGTAGGCAGCACTAGTAAATGTTCTTTACGGATAGAAAGTAAGAAGAAACAGAAAAAGAGATGCACTAACAATATCGAATATCTTCAATTTTACATATATATTTATATAGCACGTGAAAATAAGATGAATCTATTCTACAGTTGTTCTTGATCGATCGGCGTCTCTACGGTTCGATTATGATTTACGATGCTTCTTAAACACAAACGCCTACATTAATATTGAGACAATACAAAAGAAGAAATGTCGTTATGCTGTCTTTCTCATCATAGTTAAGCTAATTTGCGAAATGCCTGAATAATAGCATGTATACACTAGAAAGAAAATGGCGTTACATAGTTATAATAAGATTTCTTTTGTAATATCATTCGAAAGGTGCTGATTATTGTTATTGTCAAGGACGATTGTATTAGTGTACTAGCTAAATGTATGTATTTTCTAGAGATTCAATCAAGAAATTTTTTGCTTCTAGAAAATTATTAATGTAAAATGCGCGTATGACAAAAGAATACGGTTAGTAAAAAATGTTAATCGAAACAATATTATCTATTAATATTTACATGATTAAATAATGACAATATGAAATACTTTGTGTCTTTTAGAGATACTTGATATAATAGAATCTCAAATATCTTATGTACTCATCTAATTTTAGATAATCTTCTTTCATTTCTTCGAATATCTCTTTTTCAACAACTTGATAATCAGTATCAGTAATTCTTATTCTTGTTTTTTTAATTTTCGAAAATCTCGAAAAATACAACACAAAAAAGGCACCCATTTACCAATAAATAATATCTTGATATGTTTATTTTTTTTTATTTTTGATATAGATGAGAATAAAAATCAACTAATGCCATCAATGACAAGATTGACAGAGCACTATTTCCATTGAATACATAACTAAAAGCACAATTGTACCAACAAACTGCAAATGTTGTTGACGAAATAAAAAAAAATGACTACTGTTGCTCTGAAAGCACTTTGACAACAAGGAAGAGTCATTAGAATATGTCAATCATATTTTAATGAGTTGACATCACATTGAAAACTTTAATTAGTTTATCATGTTGTGTATTTGTTTGTTTTTTGTTACTGCGAGACTATGATATTTGGCAACTTAAGAATCCGATTGTAAATAAAGATTAAATGACGCTTATCAAATTTTATATTGTATACTAAATGACTCATTTGAATTATTATTGTGATCAAGTAGCAAAATGTGTTCTATTGTTCGAAGATTGGTACAAATACTAGATAATTGCATAAATAATCTTCGTTATTCACTAAAGTTAATGATTCGTAAATATCTAGACTATTGATAGGGCGTGGTGACCAGCATCGTAGGAAGAAAAACAAGCAATTTATTTCTCTACAACTATTCAAATTGTATTTTTACAGTCTGTAAAAAGCTTTACCGAATGCTGAATTAGTTTAAAATCAATTAAATAGCTTTCGGAATTAGTTTTTATTCTAAATTTGTGAATTTGAAATTGCGCATCTGATAAAAACATACGAACAGACAAGTCTATAGAAAGTTGACTTGAACATTGCTAAAATTAATCTGATATGGTTATATGAATCAAAAACAAAATACGCAATCTTGATAGCTTACTACTAAGTTCTAACGAGGGACATCTTCCAACTGATAAATTGCCTTTCATTTGAGACTATAGGCATAAATTACACTCAAATGATTCATTAATAGTTTGAAAAAATTCGTATTTCTTAGGTGATTGTTATGGCAATATTGCAGCATTACGATAATCTTTTAATAAATGTGATAGATGCCCATAGAAATTTCGGAATAAACAAATTTTCGACTAGAATATTTTTATAACGATAGATTTTTACATCATAGACACACTAGCACTATGATCCTATATTGATGATGGAAAATTTTGTGAAGAAAAAAAAACAGTGCTCAACAGCGAGTCATTTTCTATACAAAGTTTCAAATCGACATTCAGAAAATCAATTTTTCTCGTGTTCCAGCAACAGAACTTCGCATTGTTGTTTTTTCTTAGAAAAAAAAGCTGTTAACAAGCGACTCTTTGAAATCAACAAGAGATTATTCTATTTCATATTTTTCAGTGCACATATCTTTAAAAGTACAACAACGAAGTAGTTCATATAATATTATTAGGATACACTCTTTTAACGTCTATTGACAAAATCTGGCATAGTTTAATTTTCTCCGTAGTAGTTAATCAAAAAAACAAAATTCTTTTCAGAGTATTCATATCTCCTTAAAGCATACATAATGAAAATATTCTCAATTCAAAGCGAATCTATTAGTTGCATGAATTTCTTCATAATGGTGAAGTTATCATACTTCTGAGAAATATTTTATAAGAACCGATGAATAAAAATTCTTTTATGATTATTCAAAATATTTATGATGCGATGCTTTTTATAGAAGTTCATTATAAATTCATAAAGTGTTGAATTGATTCTGACCAATCGTGGCAATGGAATCTGTTCTTTTTTTTCAAGGTCTACAACATCCAACTTTATTACATCGTGTTTCTTTTTTGTTTTAAACAAACAACGCTATCGTCTTAATGAAGCTTCTCAGACTCTTGTCGCCATAAAATAAACATGGCTGAGCAGATATTTAACACGAATGAATAGTCTTCTTTCATAACATTTCATATTAACCACTAATGACATTAATAAAAACGAAACACTAAGGCTTTTATTTTAATGAGACACATCGTGCGGCCTTAAATCAAACTAGTTACTTCATTCACGAATGTAAACATGAAAGAATAAATAAACCAGACTAATCTATCATCATATTCTAATGATTATCTGCAATAGAGAATCTACTCTTGGTTGTAGTCATGCGTCGAGTAAAAAAATCGGAACCTATCAAAGAAAATTTAGCATACGGAAGAAAGTTTGTTTACTTTTACGTTTTGTTGCAATAGTGTCAATAACTGAGTAGTGATATATCTCATACTAATTCCTATTGGGGATATTAAGTTCACTTTTTATCTATTGGGAAGATCCAACCGATTTTGCTTTGCTTCTGTCTACCACATTCTTTACGTTGTTACCAGCGTTAATACAGTTCGATTTTATTACAAAATAAATACGACTTGATCATATTTCTGATGTTTGTCTAACTATAATTTTTGCCATTTTGTGTTTCCGCATAATTATCAAAGGAAGAGTTAAGAAAAAGCAGACGAAATAGTTTCCATTGATTACTCTTCCTATGTTTCATTTTCATACGCACGTAAAACCTTCGACAATTTACTTAATTGCCAATAATGAATACAATTAAAACGGAATATTATTTCATGTCAAATATGAGGTTTTTTAAAAATATACTTCAAGAATAAGTCACATTTATAAAGAAAACAATATTCTCTCAAGGATTCATGCTTGATTCATAAACCATTAATCAAACTATCATGTCATTAAAAAATATACATTTGGAATTAATAATAATTATATCTGTCTCAGTTTTCTTTCCTAAATGCGATCTTAACTTTTGTATTACTCATCACGAAAGATCTTCAGGCCTTTGATTTAGATAGTCAACAATCGAATGAAGTTTATGTTCTTACGATAAGCGTTGAACTCACCTTGTTGTCGTGATATGACACGTAGAATAATACAAAAGTAATTTCTAACAATTCCCAAGATAGATAAACATCCCATTGATATTAGTTTTTATTTTTTGTTCAATCAGTTGAAAACAGTTCGGGGATCAACATTTAATAATAATAATAATAATAATCATGGTATATTTTATAAAGCAAAAACGCAATTACTCAAAACAAAATGGCAGATCTTCCTAATTTATTTCATCTATATCTGACAACGAACACGCACTAATAAACTAAATAAAACAAAATCAAAATAACGAACAAAAACGGCTATTTTTACATTTTTTTCTCTTTAGATTATTATCTATAGAATTCGCAATCAAATATTCATTTGGCGTTTGTTTAAGTAAATGTTGTAATTCACTTTGTAAAGAAACATACTCTGTTAATGGAACAGTTAGACCAGTTCGCTGTTGAAGCTCATCATTTAAACTATGATACATTGATGCTGGTTCTATCGATATAATTTCAGCAAGATTAACAAGTGCTGAACCGTTTAGGCGTGTAACTAACGGTCGTAATGTATCAAATTTATTTTCTGCTGCTTCACACCATCGACTGACATCATATGCTGACCAATAAGATACAGGAAGTTGTGTATAATCATGTGGTTGATTCCCTAGTTCATCGGGATTTCTATTACGTGCATTACTAACAGATGAAATAAGACTTGTTCGACTTGAAATTCGTGTATGTGTGTCATCAGTAGGATTTAAATAACGTCGAATTTCCTTAAATATTGATTGTATATCAACAATTGGAATATTTTCAAGCCAATTTCCCTCAAGTTCACATTCATATTCAATAAGAATTCTTAATAAAGGAATTTTTTGAGTTTGAATCGATATGTAATGATAAAGAAAATGTGATAAATTATCATTTTTCATTTTTGTACTTGCACAAAAAAGACAAAGTGATGAACAATTAATAAAACGAATTAATGCGTCAATTGATTGACATTTTGGTGTGACGATAAGTTCAACGGAATATTGTTGTTCGAGTTGAAGACGATCACGAAGCGTTACGCATAATTCATGGTGAGATTCATCAGCATTGAATATGCAGATAAGAATATTTTTAGGTGTTGTAGAATCACGATTACCTGTTGCACGAACTATACGAAAGAAGTCAATAAAAAAAAACAATGAACAACCAAAGAAAAAAAAAGGTTTTACTTAAGTTTTTAGTGTTGGAATCTAAAGTAAAAACTATTGCTTGTGATGCAATTCGTACACTTGGAATAGAATCGGTAATTTTCGATTTTAACCATCGACATAGATTAACATGTTGTTGTAAATTATCATGAATATTCGTGGATGTACTAAATGAAAACGTCCATAGAACTTCAATCATAATCTCCAGTAATTTTGGTGATATATCATCGTCTTGTTCGATAAATAAAATTGTATCAATTAACGTATTTATCATATTAACTTTTTTTGTTGAAACAATTAATTCATCAACAACTATTGAAAATGATAAAAAACTTGAACGCAATAAAACAAACCATTCAATGGCCGTCGTAGCTATTTGATTTTTTGATGATGGAGATGTCGAATCGAATGATGTATCATTGGATGTTGATGCTAATGATTGAAATATATTTATAGTCCGTTGAATTAATAGATGAATGAGTCGTTTAAAAAGTGATGTTTGATATAAATCGTGTTGAGTTAGTAAAAGTGATAACGGATGCCAAAGTTGAACACAACGTTTTGTTTCATATAGAATATGTTGAACAAAACCTAAATGACGTAAATGTCGTTTACCGTTCTTTGTTGAACATATTGTAACAAGTAATGAAGAAATATCATCAATTAAATTTGGTGCTTGACACAAGATTTCAAAATGTGGTAAGAGAGATGCACAAATATTTTCTCGTATAATTGCTTCTTTATTAACTAATACTAATTGATTAACAAAAGCAATAAGACGAATAATTAAAAATGATATATCATCATCCGAATTCTGTGGCATTTCACACCATATATGAAAAATTTTATTTACTGATGGTAATATTTGTAATGTTGACGTTATTTTTGTTGATACGGTACAATAATCGAGACATGTAAATAAAAGAAATATTGATCGTATATTGATTTTATCGCTTGTCATATTTTGACGTAAGAGTTCGGTTGACAATTGAATAAATAATGGAGTGTTAAGGCAATTGATTATGCAAGGTGTTAAGTTTTCATGAACTATTGAGTTATTTATTAAAATTCGATGACTATAAAGATTCAATAGGCAGTTGACACAACGAAATAAAACATCAATCACATCGGCTTGTTCAGCTTGGATGTCGGATGTTTCAGTTTGAAGTTGAATATCGTCAGGCGATAGATGATCTTCATCATCCTTTGTTTAGAAAAAAGCAAAACAATTAAAAATTGATGTGATAGAACCTGTATCTTGTTTTAAGAAAAGAGAAAAAACCTATCAAAACAATGCCTATGGAATTAAAGTTTCTAACAAGATGCATCTGTTGTAGTGGATCATAAGAGATTTGGTTTTTCTTATCCATTTTCAGACAGATTTCTTTCACTTAATCCTATACTTATTCAATATTGCTTGCTGGTCGTGTTCCATAAAATATTTTGAATGACATATTCAATCAATGATTATGAAAATTCCATTTTCATTGTGTAGACTTCTTAGACTGTTATAGAAGATTTCAAACTTTTTCTCAAAATCCATATAACTAGAATTGAATGATGGATATTCTATTTGGTTTAGCTTTTTGTAAGATAGAATTTTTTCTTCTTCTAATGATCGTTAGTCTTTAGAAAATAACAGTGATTTATCATTTCGAGTCGTTTGTATGACTGTAATAAGGCCAAAAAACCCACATTGGTTTCCGAGGAACTAAACTGACAATTTTTACTTTCATATCGACCGAAGAGAAAAATTATTTTTCTTATTCAAATCCAATCAATAATAAGTTTTTTGGATAGATTGGCTGCTATGTTGTTTTTATGCCATATGAAAATGTTATTATAATAATAAAAGATAACTTACAGAAATACGACTTGTTACTAAACTACTTTGTTCATCATTTTCATTTTTAATTAATTGATTAATAATACGACATAGTGTATTAATAAAATTCTCCTCAATAAATAAATCATTCATAGTAGATTTTAATAAATCTTTATTTTTATTATTGCAAGCGATATTATCTTGTTCAATTAACCATTCAGATAAAAGTTTAAATAATTGATGAATATAAAACATAGCTCGATATTCATTACCATTTAATGTACCGTTAACTAACCATAATTGTAGTAAACGTTCAGACCATTGTCGTATAATAAGAAATATTTGATGATTTACTATATTTATATCTAATTGTTCAATTGACATACACGATATCGATTGACCAATCAATGATAATGATGAAAGAAGATGTTGCGGTGGACATGCATTAAAAAGAGCAAGAATCTCATCGAGATGTTTATCAGGTGATGAAGATGTTGTACATAATTGACGAATTTCATTCATTTTTATTTAAGATGAATAAAATCTAAAGAATGAAGAATAGTTACATCAAATGAACAAGAAACAAAAAGAAAACTTGAGAGTGTATTAAGTTCTGAGAAGAAAAGAGCAGACAGACATATGATTTCAATTCACCTCTATACATATATTGACTCATATGTATATATGATGAGTGACGAACAAGAGAAAGAAAAAAAATATGAGACGACACAATGCAAGAGAATCCTAATTGAATCCATCAGCATATTCAAGTGTTTATTAGCTTTGGTTTGTCTGTGAAATAGACATGAACTAGATTATTTGTGAAAATTGTTATTTATTACATCGAACTTGTTGTAATCGTCTGTTCTACTGTAGATCAATTTATTTAATAGAAATATAAAAATACCGTTGAATGAGAGAACTTAAAAAAGGAAAAAAGAACAGTTTCTGAAAGGCATTAACATGTTTGAGAGTGACATCACACTTTCATTATTAATGATTTATGAGAAAAATTTCATGCTCTGTTCGTTCTTCAAATTTTATCGACCTTTTTTTTATGCCAATGATGATCATCTAGGAGAACGGTATTTGTAAGGCTGAGAAACCATTGAAATTGATTGATCAAGCTTGTGGTAATATTGACTTAGAATTAATGGTGATGTTCAAGTATAACGGAAATCTTAGAAGTTTTCGAGCAATTTTCAAATTCATCATTTGTTCATAGAAAAAAAGACCGCAGTTTTAAAATTTCGTTTAATTATTGTACTAAAACACGAAAAATTTAACCCAAGGGTGAACAAACTGATTTCAATCTCTGAAATCACACGAAATCAAATGAAATCACGTTTTGATTTCGGAAATCAGAAATCACGAAATCAGTTTGCTCCCCCTTGATCAGCTATATATATTAGCCACTGTGTGTATAATATTAACAATAATTCCACACAATAAGTTTATTCTTGTCCAAAATGAGTTCTGTGCGTTGTCTTTCAATACAACCGAAAACAATCATACGTATTACAAAGCACAACTTTCTTCTTGGAACTTGATTTGTTTTGAACTCAACTCAACTGCCCTACTACTGTTCACACATTGCTGTTTACGCTCTAATTCGACTTCGAATATAAATGCAAAAAAAAACACTTTCATGTTTTCACGCCACCGTCAAAAAAGGATTTAATTTTTATAAATTATAAAACTATGTTGTGTCTGCAAAAGGTTTTATTTCGAAAGCTATTTAATGATAAACTCAATAGATAGAGAACGCAAGTAGTTAGCAATCTTTAATTTGATGAAATTGAAAGAGAATTCGTCGTGATAAGATGTTTTTGCAATGACCCACTGCACGAAGGCTGATTAAAACTAGTGATTTTCAGAAAATTGTTTTCAATGTCGACATTCAATTTTGAACTAAATACATTTTAATGTGTCACTCTATGTATCTGATTTGAAGAAATTTAAGAGTCCATTAGGGTTGCTTTTACATAACTCGATCACAAAATAATGTGTCAATGCATTATACGGTTACGGTTAGAGTATTTTATTTATCTGATTACACAGATTTTTTACCAATTAAGATGTAAAAGAATGAGTAAATAGATACATCTTTTCAAATGAGCATGATTAAGATCGACTATAAACGCTCGCTTTAGCTAGCAGCTCATTTTGAAAAAGCTTTTTACTTGTTTTTCTGAAATCAATACGTATTTAATTTGCAATTGCGTTTCGACTGCGTCAATGGTCGTCTTTTTTCTAAATATTTAGTAGTATAACTTTCTTAGTGAAAAAGGAATCAATATGGATGAATATTTTATGATATAATTGACTATTTACGAAAACTACAAGGTATGAAATGTTCTGGACTGTGGCTGTTTTCTAATCTTTTTTTCTTCTTTCTTTCGTTTTTTGTTGTTGTCGCCGTCTCTTTTTTTCTGCTATCTCTGACGACTGCCCATGTCCAAGAAAACGGTGCGTAAACTACCGTAAACGGCGTAAAAACGTTGAAAAACTGCGCCGTTTACCGTCAGCACAGAAAACGATGAATATAGTGTTAAAAACGGTCCGTAAAACGAACTGACGGATTACAGCGAAATAAGGTGAAAAGTAATGCCTTATTATACCGTTTTACAGTCGTTTCAGACCTTTTAGGATACTCGTTCAGCCGATCGGAATGATTGTCCTGGGTACTAATAGGATTTTTCTTTCATTAAAATCTATTCAATTTTCTCTTCTTGGAATTGATTGTATTGATTTCTGATTTGAAACACGATACTTATTGAAGGAATATAAGATTGTTACTCTTCATAGAAAAAATTGTGATTTTCACACGTTGGTGAAGTTAGCATCGCATTCGAGTGAAACCTGCCCGTATTCTTTTGAGGTAATGTTCCAATACGCACACTCTTGTTCCTCGTAGAATTTCATATGCCCTATCGAATAGTATAATTCGGGTTAACTTGATAGCGATGTGTTCTCCTGAATTTTCGAGAAATCAAAAAATTCCAAGAATTTATTTTGTAAAATCTGAGCACATCCATTTCAAGCAATTTTCCGACTCTCATGCACATGCATCCAGCAGATCTCAACCAATTTTATCTAATTGTAAAATCAGATTTTTCGTCTCCCTGGAAATCTCAGAATATTGCAGTTTTTCTATGAGCTGTTAGCGCTATATTCGTCAAAGGGCGTGTTCTAAGTACTCCACTCATGATTGAAACACAACTCGAGTAGATCTATTCAATGATTTTGGCAGATTTTTCATAGCTCAAAGTAGGATCTTCGGAGATTTCTTCAGTATTATCTTATCAGCAGTGAAGTTTAATTTCGAGCTACGGAAAATATGTGAATATGACTGGATAGAGTTCGTCGAGTTCCACTTGGAACATAGGTACAAGAGTTGGAATATTGCTTGAAATAAATATGGTCAGCTTTTGCTAAAAGGATTCCACGGATTCAATGGGATTTTTCGCTTTGTTTTTGGATTTTCAGGAGAAAGAATCAAGATCAAAGTAATCCAAATATTCTATTCGATAGAGTATATAAATTTCTACTAATACTGTGAGTATGGACGTTGGCACATCGGTTCAAAAGAGTATCGATAGATTTTACTCGAATACGATGGGGTGTAGGTGTGGGTGTGCGGATGTGACTGTATTTTAACTCAACTACACTCACCCCCACACCCTCACACCCTTAGAAAAATAGTTGCTGAGTGGAAAATTGCGTTTTACAGGAACGTGCTATTCTTTTGATAAAAAAAAGTAGTTTATTTTCAAGTCTACAAAAGACTTGAATGCGTTTCTTATTTACCGTGGAGTATATAATCAACCAGATGAACTTGAAGTTACGAAAGCAGTGAATATATACTATTAGACCAGACTTACGTTTATCTAAACTGTTGAGTTTTCTAATTGTATTAAACGAAAGTTACATGTACTCTGACAGCTACGAAATGCATAATAAGGTTGATCAATTTACATTTAAAAAAAATAATGCGTCCAAAATTAAATTTTAAGATTTTAATTATTTTTAAATAAAAATTTTGAAAACCTCTATGGAATTATTTCATTCTAAGTTCAGTTTAATAAAAACTTAAAATAAATCAATGCATGATTATAAAAACAATGTTTTCATGTATTCACGGATAAAATGAAAACTGAAGTCAACTTTAGATTAGCCAATGAAAATGATCATCGATTTCCATTCCGTATTTTAGTACATCACATACAATTTCATTTCTTTTCAAAATGATCTCCACTAGTTGAATGTGGGTTTTATTCTTTGTTTGCTTGCACGTTTGCTGTGTTTGTTACCTTAAATATGTAACTTTTGATAAGTATCGTCGTTCTTATCAAAATCTTTCGCTGGTAAATATTCCAACAAAACAAAGAAGAGCAAGATAAGGAGAGCAAACTATAAATGTCTTCCAAAAGTAACAAATGAATCATTCAACAAAAAAGTCTCATATACATAACTCAACCTGAAATTAGCTACACTATAATATTAAAGGTTTCTCAGCTATTTTAGTTCCAATTGTTTTATATCGGTGAGTAATTCATTCGAATGATCGAAAATTAAAAGTCAGGTAAATTTGGCACGATATTCGAGTATTTTCAGTCCTCATTCAGTTTGCGATTTGTACTGAGTCTCAAACCGATTGTAACAGACATCCGATTTCATACTCTATTCAAGGATAATACTTATGATGGGTTCATCGCGCAAAACGAAATTGGTTGGGTGTGGACCTAGGTGTAGGTTGGCAATAGATCATGTGCAATGCCTTTCTTAACCAATTTTAACATTTGAGAGCATTGATTTCGAATTCAAATCATGAAACAGGTTCAGTCATACTCACAACGCAGATGTAAATTCACACCTTTTAATTGTTGCCTCCACTATTTTCAACGATGTTATGTTTAATTAGAATATAGAAATCGAGAAAAAAAATGGTAGAAACCCGGGGGATTTAGTCAGAAACAATTATTATTGGCATTCTTTCATTTTTGTCTCATTTTAGAAAATAAAATAAACTCATTTTTATGGCGTCAGCTGATGCTATTGAACGGCAAACAGTGTGTCGACGTGGGTTTATCGGATCATTGTATGATATTCGTACAGATAAACTGGAAGGTACAAGCTTGTTCAAAAAAAANTTACCTGAAGAATTCATTGATGTTAGTGACAATGCTCATACCAGTTATGAACTGCTTTTCAACAATTCACAAAAGGAAACATTCGATAAAATGAATATCGAAGCAAGTTTGAAACTGAGTTTAATGACTGGTATACTCGACATAACTGGATCGGCAAAATATCTAAAAGAAACAAAAACCGACAGTCTCACAATTCGAGTTACATATGTCTGCAAAGTGAAAACAAAACAAGAGCAGTTACATACTTCAATGGCTGGTTTGTCGGACTATTTTTCAGCAGATGCATTAGAAAATCCCAATGCTACACACGTGGTGACTGGAATCATGTGGGGTGCAAATGTTGCTGCTACATTTGAACAAGTAGCCGAG